TAATGCAATTGTTTCGGAAAAGAATTAGAAATTGGTTAGTCACTGTGGTGGAGATACATTATTAAATGCTACTTTTATTTTTATTTTTTTGTTTTTATTGTATAGGTTTTATGTTATATATTGCCCTGAAATCCAGAACCTGACAATGTTAACATTAACAGCCACCTGTTTAGGGAGTATTAGTACTACTAGTACTAGTAGTAAAAAGGGACGCTGGTGGCGCTGCAGTCTAAACAACTGAGTCCCTTGGGCTTGCTGATCGGAAGGTCGGCAGTTCAAATCTACACGACAAGGTGAGCTCCCGTTGCTCTGTCCCACCTTCTGCCAACCTAGCAATTCGAAAGCACACCAGTACAAGTAGATAAATAGGTACCGCTGCAGCAGGAAAGTAAATGGCGTTTACATGCATTCTGGTTCCCGTCATGTTCTTCTGTTGTGCCAGAAGCAGTTTAGTCATGCTGGTCAAATGACCCAAAGCTGTCTGTGGACAAATGCCAGCTCCCTCGGCCTGAAAGCAAGATGAGCGCCGCAACTCCATAGTCGCCTTTGACTGGACTTAATCGTCCAGGGGTCATTTACTTTTACTACTTACTACTACTACTACTACTACTACTAAATTCGTATACAGTGGAACCTCTGTTCCCAAACAAAACCCATTCCGGAAGCCCGTTCGGCTTCTGAAACGTTCCGCTTCCCATTGGTTACAAGAGCTTCTTGCACTCAGTGGAAGCCGCGTCTCATGTTCGGGTTCTGAAAAACATTCGAAAATGGAAGCATTTACTTCTGGGCTTTCAGTGTCTGGGAACCGAAACGTACGAGAACGGAGGCGTTTGGGAACTGAGGTTCCACTTTCATCCAAATAACACAGGGTGGTTCAGAACATAAACAGGGTGGTTCAAAGCATATTAGGGACAGCCTAATATAGTACAGTTATCTATATTGGTTGACTACCACAGCCCATTTCTCTGTATAAGAATATAAGCATGGTCAAGGTGGTTGTGTAAGCTACACTACAATTATGATTACTCTATCAATCTGCTGTGTCAGCGTAATTTAGAAAAATGTGTAAGTTCTAGGAGAGCAACTTTATAATAGACTTATAAAGAGGTGGGGAAGCCCTCTTTCTTGGAACTTGGAGTAGATCTGGACTACAGAAGGTGCTGCACATTGACCAATCCATGAGTCACATCCATTGCTACTCCAAGCGGTTTCCAGGAACTAAATGAAGGGAATGTCAGCATTGTTCTTTTGTTGTAGTATTATGCTTTATATTTTCTTTGCATGCATTAATAAAGAATGTGTAGCCTTCACCCATATGTGTGTTCATTGTCTTCCAATCCTAAAAGAACCTTTGACTTCTGTCAGCACCCTTTCTAATTGCATGCTATAAATTCCCTTCTCCTCACCCTCGCCCCCAACTGCCATCTTATTTTTCCATAACAAGACTTTGTATCCAGTTTGGCTTTGGTCCAATAAAGAGGCGAGCTACTAATGAACATGAATGCATGTAAGCAACATGTTCTCTGGGTCATTCTTCCTGAGCACAACATTTTCAGGTAAAATAATCTGTGTGCTTCCCTTTTTAGGTCTGTTCTCTCAAGACCATCAAGTATTTCTGCACTATGTTTTGGCTATAAGCAACTGTGTAAATATTCCCCCCCCCCTGAGAATCTCATTTTGTCCTGTGTGCTCTGCCTCCTTGTCCAAAGGCTCACTGACTCAGGCTGCTTCCAAAGCAACAGATTTTATCCTAATTGTGCTTCCTTTTAAATCCTTGGAGAAAAGCTGTTTCCTAAGAATTAGGACTAATGGACCCAAGTGCATCCAATTAATCTTAATTGAATCTAAAGTACTTCACATTGTTTCCACTGGTACTTTCAAGTCTCTGTATAACAATCCTTGGCTCCTCCATATACAAAATTACAGTAAACGGCATTTAGATTCCATGGGTTTGAGAGAGTGACAAAACTGTGATTCAAACCAGGAAGAATTCTCTTCAAATCTCTCCTTTGGAATAAACTTGGAGGGGGCAATAATAATAATAATAATAATAATAATAATAATAATAATAATAATAATAATTTATACCCCACCCATCTGGCTGGGTTTCCCCAGCCACTCTGGGTGGCTCCCAATAGAATATTAAAAACACGATAAAACATCAGACATTAAAAACTTCTCTAAACATGCCTTCAGATGTCTTCTAATAGTCAGATAGTTGTTTATTTCCTTGACATCTGATGGGAGGGTGTTCCACAGGGCAGGCGCCACTACTGAGAAAACCATCTGCCTGGTTCCCTGTAACTTGGCTTCTCACAGTGAGGGAACCGCCAGAAGGCCCTCGGCGCTGGATCTCAGCATCTGGGCAGAACGATGGGGGTGGAGACGCTCCTTCAGGTATACTGGGCCGATGATGACGATGATTACTTAGCACAATCATTTAGACCTCAGCTGCAGCCTGACTGAAAGATCCTAAAAACTGTTCCCATATCTCTGAACATTTATGCTGGACTACTTTCACTGTGTTCAAAAGCATGTCAAAGTGCAAGTAGATAAACAGGTACCGCTCCGGCGGGAAGGTAAACGGCGTTTCCGGGCGCTGCTCTGGTTTGCCAGAAGTGGCTTAGTCATGCTGGCCACATGACCCGGAAGCTGTATGCCGGCTCCCTCGGCCAATAAAGCGAGATGAGCGCCGCAACCCCAGAGTCGGTCACGACTGGACCTAATGGTCAGGGGTCCCTTTCCCTTTTTTACTTTCACCGTGTACATTAGACACAGCTAGGAGGATGATCACAGATGATGCCCTTAATGAGACTAGACTGATGGGAAGTTTTTCTTCCTTTAGACTCAAACCCTCAGACCAATGCCCACTTACAGAATGACAAGAACAGGTAAATTGAAGTTTAGCACAACCACTAATCTAGGCATTTTGTGATCACAAGGCTCCTCTCTTAAGGCTGGGATTAAAGCTTAATGTACATGGTACGTCATGGTAATGGTGAGCTTCCTGCGCTAATTTCATTGGGCTTGTTTAATGTGGTTGATTGATATGACTCATACCAGCTATGTAGATGCTGCTTGTTGATGTGCTAGATGTCAAGCAATATAGGCGGCGGGGGGGGGGCTGTACTTGCACTGACAGCAGCCACTTGCCCCTCTGGCGCTGCACTCAGAGGAGCCCTGCCTACCATATTCGGACATTTAGCTCCATCCACTATTTCTGCACTTCTGTAGTGCCATGACATGTTCGTGGTAGGCCCACATTCAGCCTGACACCCGGTCTTCCTTCTTTAAATCCCTCCAAAGGGCTACTGTCAAAACCACTATTACTTGTTTCGATTGGTAGCTCTTTGCAGCGTAATGGTTCACAGCCACCAGACATGTGAAACTCCCAACAAAAACCGCTTTGGAACGTGTGCAGAGCATGAGAAGATCTGTGGGTCAATAGTAGAGCATCTGCTTTGAATACAGAAGGTCCCAGATTCAGTCCCGGGTATCTCCAGCTGGGACTGAGAATATTCCCTATCTGCAACCCTGGAACCAGTGTAGACAATACTGAACTAGAAGAATCAATGGTCTGGTTCATTTTAAGACAGCTTCCTATATTTAATTTATTCACTTCCCACCCAGCTACAAGAAACAGGATGTAAGCAAAGAAAACAATTTCTCTGACTCTGATTTATATCATTTTCTTCCCAGGCTGCAATCTGACTCATTTCATTACCTAAGAAAGCCCTCGTGTGTTTGGCTTTCGTCAAGGTCAAGCTCAAACCTTATGAAAAAATTCAGCAAAATGTGCATATGACAGTGACGTGAGCCATGGTTGATGAGAGATTAAATTCACATCCTGTCCCCTACAGAAAGAAAATAAGTTGTCAACAAGGTATAGTTTATATGTCTCAAACATCACATGACCAGTGGGATTTTTAAAAACCTTTGTTCTTAGCACCTCGAGCTACTCTTTTTCCTATTTCTGTACACGAAGAATGTGTGTAGTAAAGACAGATCTTGATTGTAAGCTCCCAATCCTAGTCATCTAACAATTAGAGATGAATTTTCACCTGTTAATGTTCTTTCCTCTCTTTGACTGCAAATTGCATTGCTCTTTCAATTTCTGTGTTCATGTTTTGCTTTGTTGAAAGTGGTGTATATTTATTTCTAATTGAAATTCTTAAAAAGAGAGAGAGAGAGAGAGAGAGAGATGAGCTTTCCTGTGTCCCAGGACGAAAAATGAGGAATTGCAGAGCATGGAGTAGGGCAGCAATAGCCAAGGTAGTGCCCTCCAGATTTTGTGGACTCTTGGCTCCCATCGTCCCAGACCATTAGCCATGCTTCTGTGGGGTTTCATGTTTGCTACCCGAGAGGCAGGGATTAGGAAGAACATGAAAATGAGCAACACCAATTTTCCATTTGAGACAGCCAATAATAACCATACATAAGATGCAAGGATGCTCAGCCAGATTGCACAATGAGATTGGCGTCACTCATGAGTGCTCATATAGGAACGATCAGGAGTCATTGCAGAAATGAGACTAGTGTAAAAAGTCCAAGAATAAAAGCAGGCAGTTAATTCAACAATGCCTGATATTGAGATGATAGTTGTGCACAAAACAACCTAAAAGACAGTCTATCCCCTTATATACTTGATCGAACACTGTGCTCTGCAGGAGAGCGTCTCTCCTGCATAATAGTAGGAGATTCATTCAACCAAAATAGGAACCAGACCTTCAGTGTGGGGGCAACTGAGTCAGATGGGCAGGGTACAAAAAAACTACTACTACTACTACTATTATTATTATTATTATTATTATTATTATTATTATTATTATTATTATTATTATTATTTCCCCTCATTGCATATCAGAGAGGCGCTATTTCCATTGTCTGTTGGGTCCTACGAAAGACCTTATTTTTAAAAATATGGAATTGTTTTTAACTGTTGATGCTTCTACTGCAAAATCATTTTGAGATGTTTCACGATAAGCTGTTCACAAATGCGATAAAATAAAATAACAAACGTTTATTACATGGATTTGCCACAATATCACAGTTTCAGGAGGAGTTTACTGCTGATACAATTAATGGAAATGAATCGACTTTTATGTACAATACACAAACAAATTCTACTTAAACCTCTGAAACCATTTTTCACAGGGTGGAGTGTTTCTTTCCATAAAAACAGATTTATAAGTAGACTATTTCCAGATCTGAACTACGAACGGACAACATCTCCTAACACCTGGCCTGGCAGGATGTTGCAGTGCCACTTGTGGTTGAGCAGAAGGGAGAGGTCTGGCCGATCTTGAGCCTTCCTTCAACACCACATAGCAGCTGCTGAACCTTTCCCTGGTGTGCAGACAGTGAAAGCCCAAGAGCCCTCTTTGGACTAGGAGTTGCCAGTTCTGCTGTATGAGGGAACAGATGACTGTCAAGAAAAGACACAGCAGCAGAGGCCAGCAGTAGCCACGAGAGAAGGGAAATGAATCATGCAGGAACTACAATAAATTGTTGCATGCTCATGCCAATTATATGTTCACTGTTGTCAGGCAGAAATAAACGTCTAGTAACCTCATTAGTAGAAAGGGAACACATTAATGGACAGTTGCCTGGGGGTGCGTGCGAAACAGGGGGATGGATGGAACAGCCAAACTACTTTTATCACATCACAGCTGCAAAGATCCCCAGTCTTTACAAGTTTATGCCCTAGTTGCCATTCCTTCAGTACAACTAGGAAAGGCCCTCCCATCCCATTCACAGAATTGCAAGATGCACACAGTTTCACAAACCCAGCAGCAAAAGAAAGTCTCTTTTGCTCCACTTTTTCATTGCCACATTCTAAACTAAGGTTACCAGACGTCCCCGTTTCTCGGGGACAGTCCCCGGATTTACAAACCAGTCCCCTGACAAAATCCTATCATTCCTATTGAAGTTGAAAAGTGTCCCCAGATTCATTGGGAAAAACCTGGTAACCTTATTCTAAACTGTTCCCTGACAGCAAATTACTTTGTTCAAATCTCATTCTCCCCTCCTCTGTTTTTTTTTTGTATTAGATTTTATTAGGTTCCTTAAAAATAGATGTTTAATGATGAGTATATCATTTTGTAACTGTATACCACAAACTTCACTTATCTACCTACATCTCATTTCTACCCCCCCCCCAATCCTTTTTCGGCTGCTGCTGTTTGGATTAGAGGGATCTTGGAGGGAAGAGAGAATGACCAACATTCCAGCTGGGAGCAATCAAAGCTTTCCCCCACATGGTTTTTACCGAATATGTCTATATCTATGTCTCAATTTGAAGGGGATAGATAAAACAGGTTGTGTTTCCACATCTGGAATGTACATAGAAGGGTTTTTTTGGGATTACATTTCATTATTCCTTTCTGACATCTGTTTTTGCCAATTCCTTAGTCCTTTGGAACAGCTTGCCCAGTAAACATGAAGAACCATTTTTCAAATGAAAGGACACACCAAAAATCCAAAACAAGAACCATCTGGAATCCTGAACCAGCCAACTTGATTCCATAACGGGAGATAAAGTCCTGGATGTGGAGCATTAGGGACACAGTTTGTATTGTGCAGCCAGGCTTCTGGGGCACTTCTGGTGACATGTGACGTCCTCATCACATGATCATAGTCTCTGTGCTGCTGTCATATTCTTGTTGGCATGCCTCCATTGTCTCCTCAGAGCTTGGCCTGGTGTCAGAGAAAGCCTGATAAACTGACAGTTTCCCTGTAATCCTTTTTTATCCCGTGTTTCTCAAAAGCAAAGCCAAACATAGTGACATGGAAGCAAGTTTCACACGGCTCCATTATGTATCGGGTGTGTCCGGACTCTGTAAATGATCACTGCTGTCGCCGGGCACAAGAGCAGGGATGTCATGACAATGATGGTGACCAGGATGATCAGGACAATGACCCACACTTCCAAGATGTGCTTTGGAAGGGGAAACTGTGTGGGCTCTATGTCTCCCAAAACATCCATGCTCTTCCTGTTCCTCCCTAAAGCAAAGAAGAAGAAAGGTATCAATAAAACAGGACACAGAGCAAATGCAATCCTCACAGGTGACAAGCACAAAACCTTGCCCTATCTCCAGAGTTGAAATAACAGAGCTTGGATAGGCTGCTTGAAATTTATGTAAGTTAGAAGACTTATCTGCACTTCATTCGGTCCAGAAGAAGACATGCAGGGCACTTCTATCTATACATATTGTTATGAGTTTGTGGGTTCCAGACACCCCTAATCCCTAGATCTAGTAAGTGTTAGAATTTAATCAATGCTTGGGGTGCTAAGATGGGTGCCAGACCTCTCTAATCCCCAGGTCCAGCAAGTATTAAAATCTAGTCAGAGCTAATTAAGCCTGGCTAGCTTCCTGTGTTGAAGTGACCACCTGGGTGATGGACCATTAAGAGGACAAAGAATCAAAGGATTCCTCAACAGATAAAACCAAAGTTTACAGCATAGAGAGGTTAGGAAGAATAATGTGGCAGAGTAGCAAAGCAGCGAGCTGGAAAGCCAGAGAGGCACAGCAATGGTTGATCTCTGCCATAGCTGCAGCTATGGGAGAAACAAGGCCCCCTTGAGGCGTTAATGCTGTGAACCCCTCCATCATAGACTCAGGTTGTATATATGTGTAAATAAACCATATACAATATCATCAAGGCATCACAGTCTCTGCTGTGTCCCATTTCCAAAAGGAAACATGAACCCTGGGTAAGTACCTGGAACCTCTGGAATCTCAGAGATTGGGGTAGCATGCAACAATACTTACTCAAGCCCCACTTTATGCAGTGGGGCTCTCTGGCACATAAATAAGCATATGATTGCAGCCTTAAGGACATAAGGATTTGGTCTGTGCCAACACTGCTGCATGGGATCAGATGGGATGGATCACTTCTATGCCTGCCTGCCATCCAGGCACTACACAGAAATAAGGTAAAGGTACCCCTGCCCGTACGGGCCAGTCTTGACAGACTCTGGGGTTGTGCGCCCATCTCACTCAAGAGGCCGGGGGCCAGCGCTGTCCGGGGCCAGCGCTGTCCGGAGACACTTCCGGGTCACGTGGCCAGCGTGACATCGCTGCTCTGGTGAGCCAGAGCCACACACGGAAACGCCGTTTACCTTCCCGCTAGTAAGCGGTCCCTATTTATCTACTTGCACCTGGGAGTGCTTTCGAGCTGCTAGGTTGGCAGGCGCTGGGACCGAACTACGGGAGCGCACCCCGCCACGGGGATTCGAACCGCCGACCTTTCGATCGGCAAGCCCTAGGCGCTGAGGCTTTTACCCACAGCGCCACCCGCGTCCCTACACAGAAATAGATGTCATTTAATGTTATTTCATGTGTTGTGGCTTTCTCAGCTAGTTTGCTGTAGTGACTAGTATATTGGAATTCAATGTTGTAGTATGTTGAATGTTCTGTCAGTGCAAACATTTCAGGTTGCTAGATGGAACAGTCCCACCCACCCATCCACCTTCTTCCATGCGCTGTTCTGGGGATTCTCCTGACTGCCACCAGCCTTGCACAGGCTTCTGTCAAAGGGATTAATTAGCTGAATCCCACCCAGATATAGGACTTCTAAGTCTGAATTCCTACTCAATGGAAAGAGGGTCTGGAGCAGGTCACAAAGCCAGAGCATAATTTGGCGCATCTGCTAAATTAACAATTGATCCAATTGCGCATCAAAGAATACAATGAATGTTGTTTATTTCAGAGGACTGCATTTCTACAAAATGTCACAGAAACAAAAGGAGGGCTTTGTTGCAAAACACTGCTGTGCAACCTCGCCACATGCTCATAACATCAAAATGTGAAACTGTGCATGGTGGCACAGAAGAGAGGCAGTTCTCAGGGTGAGTGTGGGCTGCTGTTCATACTTCTTAAGCCGCATGGTGAGGAAATGTTCTGTTTAATAAGGTATCTTGAGGAGGGAAGGGAGCTGTAAAAGGAAAACCATGTACTCTGATACCCTCCAATAAAAAGGCATCGTAAAATGCTGGCTCTTCATTAGTATTCATTACATGTCATTATTTTAACTGCGCCACTATTGTATAATCTGATGGAAAAAATGAACTCCTCTGCTATTCTGCCCCTCAGTGAGATAGAAACATGTTGACTTAATGCAGGAGAGCCAAAGTTTAATTAGCCTGGAAGGGTGCCAGATACCGATTATTTCAAAACAAGGATGAGGAACATCAGATCTACAGGCCAGATGTGGCCCTCTAGAGCTCTCTACCTGGCCTAAGAATTGTACCCATTAAAAACCCTGGAAGTGCTGCAGGATATCAGCGGATAAATCTTCTCAAGCAACATCACAGATTCTCTGCAAACTGGCAGGCCTTTTGTATGCTCAAAAAAATTACACACAGTACATAATTTATGCCATCTGAATGTGAAAATGCGCCTTAAAAATGGAACAGTGGGGGGCAGGGGAGGGAGAGGAATTGTTCAGTTGTGTGTGAGCTACCTAATTGCTATGTTGTTCTCCACTATGGGGGGGGGGTGTCCCCTGGTTCTTTGCCTCCTTCTACAAGTTCTTACCAACCCCAATTGATGACTTAAAGATTAGATAGATTAGATAGATATGCACTCTGTGTGTGTGTGTGTGTGTGTGTGTGTGTGTGTGTGTAATAAGTTCCGTAATGAGTCAGCTCAAAAACAAGCAATTTGGCTTCCAACCAATCAATTGTAAGTAGCCAGAGTCTCTCCTCTCTCAGCAGCACATTGCCACAGCAGAATATGCTTTGCTGGATTAGGCTGCAGTCATAGGGGCACTGAGTATCTGCAAAGAACCATTCTGATCAGTTTGCTGTCCAACTTCAGGCAAGCTGACACCTGTTTGCTTTTTTAATCTAGCAGGGATGATTCAAGAAGAAGCAATTGCCCTCCAAAAATATTTCCCACTGCCTTTTTTGGTAACTGCACAGATGTGTGTGTATGCACCTGCAAGAAGAGGAAGGTGGGGAAACATACCATAGGGCAGAGGTTGCCAGGGTGGCACCCATGGGGTGCATATGTGCCTGCAGAGGATTTCCCTGATTCCCACAGGGTCCCCATTCCTGGGTTCAAAGGATCAGAACAGGACCTGTGCAAGGCCCTTTTCCTCTCCAAACACAAGCATCTAATGTTCTCAGCCCCCCCAACCAAAAAGAGTTATAGCCCTGAATTCCATCACCTTAACCTCAACATACAGACCAGTATCTGCACAATACTATCTACCTTAATGAGAAACATTGGACATCCCAGGCTAATAAATTGCTGCTGTTCTCTCCCTCGCCCTCTCTTCTCCTGAACGAATCCAACTGGTGTCCCATGAACTGCCTAAGTGTTTATGTATGAAGCAAGGCTGGCCCAAGACATTTGGCTGCCTGAGGCAAAGGATAAAATGATGCACACCCATTCATAGTGCCTCCTACTTCGGTACTAGCAAAGGGGCACCCCCCTGCCTCTGAGGGAGGTCAGCAGGAGAGATATAAACGTGGATGGCAAAGTGTGTGACACACAGCTCTCTTCTCCAACAGAACAGTTTGGTCAGGGAGCTCAGGAGGAAGAGTTGAGGAGCACCACTGGCTCCCAGCATATGGTGCCTGAGACCTTACTGTGCCTAATGGCAGAACTGGCTCTGGTAGGAACCTTGCAGCTTCTATGCCCATGGGTCCCTCCCTCTCATCTGTCCAGTCTCCAGGGAAGATTTTGCCTGGGCAAATGAAATTAGTGATGGAGTAAAAAATCCTTGCCAAATCTCCAGTCACACGGGCTGCCTCTGTGTATATTTTAACTACAGTAGGCGTTGACGCAGATTTCGTGTCTGATTCAGCAGCCTCGAGGCATCTCACCTGTACTTAATCATGGTTTCCTGAGTCACGAAATCCGTTTCTTTACACGAATGAAGCAATTGATGACACCAAACAGTGCGTAAACTCCTGCCAGCTGGATATGTTGCTGTTTCCCACCCTGATCTTTTGATCCTGTTAACATTTATTTATTTATTTATTTATTTATTTATTTATTTGCTTGCTTGCTTGCTTGCTTGCTTGCTTGCTTGCTTGCTTGCTTGCTTGCTTGCTTGCCTGCCTGCCTGCCTGCCTCTCCAGTCAACATCAGCCTACAAAGCAAACCAATCCATTCTTTCTCAACAAGAGGCTCAACACCTGATTCTGTCAATGGGTCGAATCTGAACTAAGGCTGTGTATACATTATCAGCTCAAAACACAGCCACATCATTCTGTTTCTCAATTCAGATCAAAAGTGCTTTGGGGAAAACACATCAAAACACAGTATTTCCTAAGAAGACTGCCTCAGACTACCTCCCTCCACCCAACCTAGGGTGATCTACCATCAGCTGCCCTGTGGGAAAGATCCTGGTAACTTTTTAACATGTTGATTATTGTGTTTTTAAAATATGTAGTTAGTTGTGAGCCACTTTGGGAAGATTTGTATCCTGAAAGGCAGATTATAAATAAATGTAACCAGGGATAGGAATCCTGTGGCCTTCCAGATTTTGTTGGACTCCAACTGCTGTTTAATGCCCTAGGTCAAAAAAGCATCTCGTCCCCTTCCTGGCAAAGTAAGTTATAAAAATACAGAGAAAATGTCTACTTTAGGATAAGCCTTAGTGGAACGAAACTGCTATCATGTATGCAAGAAGAAGAGGACATACAATTGTTGTTTCAGCAGACCTATTTGCCACGAGTTTTCACGGGGAATTTTGTCCTAGGACTATCCTAATTCAGAACTACTGACGAAGTATGAAAAATGCTAACCTCTGCTCTGGTAACCAATCATCTCAATAAGAACCAACTGTGGCACTCAACTGTAAATACGTGCTATGAAAATGTCTGCTACTGAATGGGAAATGGAGGTGTCATCATATGTTGATGTTTCTCTGCAACTCTTGAATCAGGAGAGGCTGTGCAAGCCCTGGACTTAGTGCCTGGACTTAGTACAATTCCTGTCCACTGGGTCTACTCTTGGTTCTGTAGATCTCTTAGTTGCAGCCTAACA